AGAAACTTGCAGAATTATCGCCGGAAATAAGCCATAGCTTGCGTTAAATTAAGAAAATAATAATCAGCAATAAATTGATTAGAACTCACCCTTTCGGAAATTCACCTGCAGTTTGCAAACCTGTGTCACTAGGTCACTGAACCGATCCTGGTCATCGACGGCCGAAACGGTTTATGGCAGGGTATCGCCCAGTTCGCAGGTGATCGCAGGTATACCTCACCAGCCGAAGTTAAGGGTTGTAACGTCAAGTGCGTCCTGGTTATTCCACAGAATACGTACTCACTTCACTGCACGACCACTAACACTGATCACCCGACACAATCACTTAATGTATTTTTAATCCAACGTGTTGTTACTACGTTAGGAAAATTCGTGGCCCCGGAAAGGGCCGATTGTTTTCAATTTTTCAGATGTTTTACGTAACCAAACACTTGCACAGCAACACCCGCATATCCGTTATTGTGTACGTACCACCATAACATTGCGTAATACTCCCGTGAACTGAACATCTCTGTCGCCCGATTGCTAACCGACTGACAGAATTTTTCCTCTACCCCCAAGTAGTTTCCCATCGTTACATTGTGAGTTCACTCCCACCACGACAAGATTTAGGTAGAAAGAAACCAACGGTTCTAGGATAACACGTGCTTTGCAGAAGTGGAAGGAAAGGACCGTCGCGCAGTTTCTCCAAGGCGCCGTAGCCCGTTAATTTATTGCCAGGGTACCTACTCCTTCGAGATAGAAAACAGACATCACGTGCATCGGCTTAAAAATGTCCGAAATGAAGAGGACCATCAACGTATCCCTTGCTTCGAGTTGGAAAGTACAGTGTACATTGTCTATCTCGAGGAGCAGGGAAAAAAATTTACCGACACGTGTCAGTTGACGCTGCAAGGCCCTGGACGACCACCCTTGTAGAGGCCGGAGTGGAATTTTCGGTTATTTATGGCTTAAAATCTTCGGCCTCGTAGCAATCGTGAACTCACAACAGAATTGACAATCGACAATTTTATTACAACTTTGTGAAATTGTAGTTCTCATGAAAACATTTCATACGTATTTTTTTTTTTAGTATTCCGTCAAATATCTCGGAAATTATTAGAAATATAAAAACCGTATTCGTTAAATTCTTTTCCGTAAAATAAGCCTATCGGTAGGGTGATGCGGTTCATATTAACGTAATAGTAACCCATTGAAGACAGCGGTGCGCCCCGGTTCAGGTAAAAGAATCGGGCGCTCCACTATTACAGTCGACTGATGGTATCGCTAACGCTCCAGACTATTTCAATAGATTAAAAGCTATATCAAAGTATCAATGATTTACGGAAAAGAGTTCAACGAAAGATTGTTTAAAGAAAGGGATTATTCTGGAATTCAATGATATAGCTACATTCAATATCAAAACAAACACAATATTGCAAATTGTACGGTTTTTATATTTCTAATAAATTCCGAGATATTTGACGGAATACTAAAAAAAAAAAGGCCGAAGAAATTGAGCCATAAAGAACCGAAAATTCCACTCCGGCCTCTACAAGGGTGGTCGGCCAGGGCCTCTTCATTTCGGACATTTTCAAGCCGATGCACGTGACGTCTGTTTTCTATCTCGAAGCAGTGGGTACCCTGGCAATAAATTAACGGGCTACGGCGCCTTGGAGAAACTGCGCGACGGTTCTTCCCTTGCACTTCTGCAAAGCACGTGTTATCCTAGAACCGTTGGTTTCGTTTTACCTAAATCTTGTCGTGGTGAGAGTGAACTCACAATGTAACGATGGGAAACTACTTGGGGGTAGAGGAAGCCCTTTCGGAAAAATTCTGTCAGTCGGTTAGCAATCGGGCGACAGAGATGTTCAGTTCACGGGAGTATTACGGAATCTTATGGTGGTACGTACACAATAACGGATATGCGGGTGTTGGTGTGCAAGTGTTTGGTTACGTAAAACATCTGAAAAATTGAAACCAATCGGCCCTTTCCGGGGATACGAATTTTCCTAACGTAGTAACAACACGTTGGATTAAAAATACATTAAGTGATTGTGTCGGGTGATCAGTGTTAGTGCAGTGCAGTGAAGTGAATACATATTCGATGGATTAACCCGGCGGCACTTGACGTTGCAACTCTTAACGTCGGCTGGTGTCGCATACCTGCGATCACCAGTGGCATGGACTCTACCCTGCCATAAACCATTTCGTCCGTCGATGCCCAGGCTCGGTACACTGACCTACTGACGCAGGTTTCTACGCTGCAGGTGAATTTCCGTAAGGGTGAGTTCTATTCAGTTTATTGGTCATTATTGTTTTATTAATTTCACCGAACTACAATCACTTCTCGTTTATTCTTTGTTACATTACCTTTTCGTTCACACGTTATTTGAAAAGGAAATTTACAAATTCGTAAAAAGGAATTTACAAAAATGTAAATGTGCATTCGTCTTTTTACGTTACACATAATTTGCCTACATTTACGTTTCATTCATTAATCTCTTTAAATAACAAACGACAGATGATAAAAAGTATGATTTTATTTGTTACGTCTTGTTTATTTGCTATTATTATACGCGGTTTCCTGCGATGCATGGTGACCTACTTGTTCGGAGTTTCGTAGTACAAGCGTAGCGCGTAGCCACCGCTAGCGCGGGAACTCGGCTGGCAAACTCGCGCTCTGATTGGTCGCGGTTTTTCGTTAATATCTCGTAAACGAAGCCTCAGTTTAAATTTTGGCTAAGGAAAAAGTTGTTCCAATTCACCCCCCGAGTGCCACATTTCCGGGTCGGAGGACATTTTTGGGACACCCTGTATGCAGGTAGCGAAACACGCATAACAGAGGACACACCAGAAATTGGCAAAACAGGAAACATCGTTTTGATGCTTTTGAAACCTTATTTGGGAAAAGGCCACACGTTGTATGTGGACAATTATTACAGCAGTCCTGCATTTTTTAATTTATTGCATATAAATGCAACAAATGCTTGCGGCACTGTGAAACAAAGGAGAAAAGGAATGCCTTTATTGAATAAAAAATTAAACATAGGCGAGGTTGAGTTTCGAACAACTAATAATTTGCTGGCTCTTAAATGGCGTGACAAAAAAGACGTTTTTATGTTATCCACTTTCCACACTAATGAATTAATAAGTACAGAAAAGAGAAATTATAAAACTCACGAATTTATACGCAAAGGCGCTGTCGACAAATGCGATATGGTTATTAGTTCCATACAATCCATTAGAAAATCAATAAAGTGGTGTAAAAAGTACTTTTTTCATTTATTAGATATTGCCGTGTGGAATGCATATTGCTTGTACAAATAGAAAACGCACAAAAATATTTTTATTGCTGCTTTGCACCTCAAATTGATCCGACAAATTTTAGGAAAATATCGTAAAGAGAATTTGAGACAAAACGGTCCGAGATCTGAAGATAAATATCCCTTTAGACTGACCGATATACACTTCCCGGCGATTTATACTAGTACGAGCACAAAACGAAAAAGCGGATTAAGAAAGTGTACTGCCTGTTCTAAAAATGGTGTGCAAAGACAAACGCATTATTAATGTAAGATATGCGACGTAGGACTTTGTGTATGCCCGTGTTTTGAAACGTTTCATACGAAATTACATTATTAAGTTATATTTTCTGATGGCATTATGCGATAATTGAAAACAATATATTGTTATGTGATAATTTTTTATTTAATAATTTGTTAAGCCTTTCCTTTCTACGAGCGACTACAGTCACTCTGCATAATATGCAGCGGTATTGAACGTACAGCAGGCGATTTTAGTTCTTCCGCAAGTGCACACTTGTGGCGCGGCGGCCCGTTCCGCGGGAGTACCGCGCCGTTGAATCCGTCCGTAGCGAAAGGGTTAATAAATCTCAAGCAGAATTAGATGGTTTAGAGGATGGTCATTTACTATGAGAGCGGATAGGTCTAAAAACAACATATACTACATGTAAAGCTTACGCGTTAGACATTATAGACAATGCCACGGTTTCCCACCCTAGAGGCACAGTAGCTATCGATTCGCGAAATACACAAGGTACACCGCATTCACATACAGAGTCCCTTGAAAGTGAAGTTACGCTTCCTAAAATTAATTTACCAACCTTCGCTGGGTCATACGAAGACTGGCCATGATTTGCAGATCAATTTCGTTCTACGGTACATGACAAGCCACGTATTGACGATGGTAAAAAATTAATGTACCTTCGATCTTGCATAAAACATGAAGCCACTGAAGCAATCGAATCTTTACGCCATGCAGCAATCAATTATACAGTTGCATGGGAAATTTTAGAAAAACGGTACAATGAACCCCAAATAATCGTCGCCAATCGTTTAAAATTCTTGTTTGATATGCCGCAAACACAGCGACCATCATATCAAGACCTTCGATCTCTTTTAAACGGAATACAAACACACTATCGTGCACTGCAAGCGCTCAAACAGCCGACTGTCGATACCATTCTCGTATACTTGTTCACATCTAAACTCGACGGTGAAACTAAACTCAAATGGAAAGAACATACGCGAACCACAAATTTCCCAACAGTTGAAGAACTATTTGATTTTTTGAACGATCTATGCAAAGTTCTTGAACCGGTAGGATACACGTACAACACGTCAGCTAAAATCACATCTCCGGCATACAACACGCGTAGCAGAAACTCGCCTCCTATTAACAAAAGAATCCCAGGTCGCGAACTGCGTTCAAACATACAACAAACATTTGTAACGCAATCTCGTATAACATGCAACTTCTGTAGGGGATTACACTTTTCACAAAATTGTGAGAAATTCACATCACTATCTGTTTCGGAAAGATCGAATTTAGTCAAAGAAAAACGCCTTTGTTTCAATTGCCTATGACGGAACCATTCCGCTAACGAATGTCAAGCAACTACCTGTAAGCATTGTCATAAACGGTACCATTCATTGCTCCACATTGAGGCAAATAACTCTGATCATCCGGTTCAGACGAATTTTACATGTCTCGCTACTATGACTATGCCAAATGTTACTTTGTCCACTGCAATTGTCGATATTTTAGACAACCATGGAAAAGCGCACTCGTGTAGGATGCTATTAGATTCTTGTTCTCAAGCTCACTTTCTCAGTGAACGAATGTGTAATCGTTTAGGAATAAAATCACATAGAATCTCAATCCCTCTGAGTGGCACGAATCAAATGAAATCTCAAATTGATCGTGCTACAAATGCAACCATAAAATCGCGTCATAGTCACGACGAGGTCAAATTAACGTTTTTAATTGTAAAAGAAATATCGCAGCCAGTACCTTCAGAATCTTTAGATCGTAATAAGATTCAAATCCCAGCTGGTATCCGATTAGCAGATCCCAGTTTCGATCAATGTGCAGAAATCGATGGACTCGTTGGAGCTAAAATATTTTGGGATCTTATACATGCCGGTAAAATAATTTTAGCTGAAGAGGAAATAAAACTCCGTAAAACCGAATTAGGTTGGATAGTAACAGGAGAAATCATTGGAAAGGGACAATCTCGCAATACAATTTGCAATCTCACTTTGAGATCATTAAACGACGATATTCAAAAGTTTTGGAATATCGAAGAGTACCCCTCAACGAGAATGCTTTCTCCAGAGGAACGCGCGTGTGAACAGCATTGCGTCGCACACACTACACGTAACTCAACTGGACGATATATCGTCAAACTTCCATTTAAAGACACACATCACAACTTAGGCGATACGTATCAAATGGCATTAAAACGCTTTCTTTCATTGGAACGGTCTTTAAGTAAAGATAATAGTCAACAACGTCAATATCACGAATTTTTGCAAGAATACAAACGATTTGGTCATATGACACAAGTTTCAAACAACCAGAACGGTGGCTGTTAGCTCCCGCATCATCCAGTGATTAAAATGGATAGCATTACCACAAAAATACGGGTCGTATTTGATGCATCTGCGCGTTCATCCTCAGGCATTTCCTTAAACGATACACTTATGGTCGGTCCTACTATCCAAGACGAGTTGTTCTCTATTATAATGCGATTTAGAATACAGTCAACCCTCCTATAACGCGGTACTCTCAGAACGCGGTTTCCATATAACGCGGAGCTGAAAATGCGACAGCCCTCCTATAACGCGGTACTCTCAGAACGCAGTTTCCATATAACGCGAAGCTGAAAATGCGACAGCCCTCCTATAACACGATACTCTTACAGCGCGGTTTCCGTCAACAGCATCCCATAAGTTCCTTCCGCGTAGCCTAAGAATGTTTAGCCTATGTTTAGTTCGTTAGGGCCTATTTGAATTATAAGGGAACAGATGGCGCCAGTTTCATGTAGGTCCAGGCAGTCGGATCGCGACATAGTAACTAGATATGTTTATATAAAGATTATCTCCGGCTTATCTGATAGCCGTCTACGACATCGGTTTTAGTCTTCTCAGAGCTCTTTCACAGTGTACACGTTTTGTTGGTGACCAAGTCTTTCTAAAAATTTTTCTGCACCGTCCGTTCGTTCAGCTTTTTGCTGCTTAATTTGTGGTTTATAATTGGACAACATTACACAATACTGTAAGTAATATTCTTCATTTGTTCTAATATAATAATAATAAAGTAATTATTAACCCTAGATTTGCATCATGTCAAACACGAAAGAAACAAGGAAAGGGTTAAAAAGAAAGTTTATATCTCTTGAAGATAAAATCGAAATTCTAAATCGTTTAGAAGGTGGGGAAAATCTATCGTCGGTTGCAAAATCAACCAAGTTGAATGAATCTACAATTCGAACCCTAAAGAAAAATGCAGACAATATAAGGAAAACTGTGGCAGATGGCTGTCCGTTAGGTGCGAAACGTGTCACTCGCACACGAAATTCTAATATGGTTAAAATGGAACGGGCGTTAATGATCTGGTTGGAAGACTGTATAGCCAAAAAGATTCCTATCAGTGGAAATCTTATCAAGCAGAAAGCACTTAAAATCTATGAACATTTAAGGAATATTGGGCATTCTTCTGCAGAGCTAGAAAATCATTCGTTTGTCGCGAGTAAAGGGTGGTTTGAAAAACTAAAAAAAAGGTACTCATTACACAATATTAAGTTTCAAGGAGAACAGGCCTCAGCAGATGCTGAGGCTGCCGAGAATTATAAGCTGGAATTAGCTAGAATTATCAATGAAGGAGGCTATTCACCTCATCAGATTTTTAACGCCGATGAGACGGCATTATATTGGAAAAAACTACCATCTAGGACCTTCATTTTGAAAAATCAAAGGCGTGCTCAGGGGTTTAAACCTTCAAAAGAACGTGTCACCCTTCATATGTGCAGCAATCTATCAGGGAGCCTGATGATAAAACCTATGATAATAAATCGTTCTTCAACTCCCCGTGTTATGAAAAACATTAATAAGACCGAATTGCCTGTATTCTGGCGATCTAATAAGAAAGCTTGGATGACCCAAGATTTATTTAAGGATTGGTTTTATAATTGTTTTATCCCGGCAGTGGAAACCCATACGATGGAAAAAAATTTGTATTTCAAAGTTTTATTGGTTCTTGATAACGCTGGTTGCCACAACATACAACTGGATCATCCAAATGTAAAAATTGTCTTCCTTCCTCCTAACTGCACGTCATTAATACAACCTTTGGACCAAGGAGTCATTCAAACTTTAAAAATGTATTACACACGCCAAGTTTTCCAAACCATTTTCGACAGATTAGAAAGTAGTGAAAATAAAACCCTTACTCAAGTTTGGATGGAATTTTCTATTTTAGATTGTATTAGAACCGTGTCATCGGCTTGCGCGGAAATTAAACCATCAACGCTTAATGCGTGTTGGAAACCCCTTTTACCTGAAATGGTTCAAACAATACAAGATGATTCTACAATTTCACTCCCAGTTACAGAAATAGTAAACATTGCTTCTCGTTTAGGCGATGAAGAATTTACAACAAACCATCAGGATGTAAGAGAACTCGTACTCGGGGAAGAAACTTTAGATGAGGATGAACTGATGGATTTAATTGATGCACCCACCTCAAATCCATTGGTAAACGAAAATAAGGAAAACGAATGGGTGCCAAATGTCGATTTACAAGATGTGAAAAAAGGGCTAAATTTGGCTAAAGAATTAGAACTCCATTTCATTCAAACTGATCATTCAACGGTGCGTAGCGCAAAGTTTAAAAGAGAGTTAAGAAATTGCTTAGCTCCCTATAGAGAGGTTTTAGTGGAGTTAGAAAAAAAAGCTACAATCGAAAACCAATGTGAAGATGAGCCAAGTGAGGAAGACATTTTGCCTATTAAAAGAAGACGAGTTAGGCGACTCATATTATCTGACAGCGAGGATGAGTGTTGAAAGATTAAATTTTACAAAAGTCTTTCTTGTTTTTGTTGGAAAACAGTTTTTCAGTTTAGTTTTGGTATCATTTCTTTATATAAACTCTTCAATTCAATAAAAATAATTTATAATTTATCTTGTCCTTATTGGTCTCCATATAACGCGGTACGAATAATGTGATTTGTATTAATTCTGCGTTTCTTATAGCGCGGTTTCCATACAACGCGGTAGACGGTTTCCATAGAACGCGCTACGAATTAGCCTGGTTTGTACGGTTAAATCCGAGTTTCTTATAGCGCGGTTTCCATATAACGCGGTACGCACTCACCGCGTTATAGGAGGGTTGACTGTACATAAGTACGTATTAACTGCAGACATCACAAAAATGTACCGACAAATCGAACTACACCCTGATGACCGAAAATACCACAAAATTCTTTGGCGTGAAAACACAAATGATCCTATTCAAGTCTACCAATTAAATACAGTTACATACGGCACGGCATCAGCACCATACCTCGCGATTCGTACCTTGCAACAATTAGCTCAGGATGAAGGTCATAATTACTCAGTAGGCGCGAAAAGCATTTGTAAGGACTTTTATGTCGACGATTTGCTCGCCGGTGAGGAATCTATAGAAAAGGCCATAAAGTTACGGGACGAACTCATCGACTTGACCGCGAAAGGAGGGTTCGAACTTCGACAATGGGTCTCCAACGAACCCCGGCTAATAAACTCGCTTAAAAATCCGAACAACACCGACCATATAGCTTTAGATACTGCGGACTCAAAGAAAACCTTAGATTTATATTGGAAGCCTACAATGGATACATTAGGTTACTCATTGAAACAAACAATACCACCCGGAAAAGTAACAAAAAGGACGGTCCTTTCTAAAATCGCACAACTATTTGACCCGCTTGGTTTATTAGGTCCAATAATCGTACAAGCCAAGCTAATAATGCAGGACTTATGGAAATCCCAAATAGATTTGGACGAAGCCGTACCGATCGGCATTCACACCACATGGCTGGCCTTTCAGGCACAATTAAAAGAAATTCAACATATTCATATTCCTAGACGCGTGATAGCTGATAAATGTAAAACTTCACAATTGCATGGTTTTTGCGATGCTAGTGAACGAGCCTACGGAGCTTGTATATATCTCCGCAGTACAGATTCTTCACAGCATCATAGTACCCATTTACTTTGCTCCAAATCTCGTGTAGCTCCATTAAAAACACAAACATTACCAAGGTTAGAATTATGTGCTGCTATACTATTAATTAAGTTGTATAATATAGTCGTAAGATCTCTTAATATCACTTTCCAAAATATCACATTCTGGTCAGACTCTACGATAGTGCTTCATTGGATTAATACAGCTCCATACACACTTAAACCTTTCATTGCGAATCGGGTAACTGGAATCCAGCAAAGCAGTACGTATAAACAATGGCGCCATGTACCATCAGAACACAATGCCGCGGACTACTTGTCACGAGGAATAAATCCCGCTGAAATTAAGACTCATCCAAGTTGGTATCACGGCCCACACTGGTTATCTCAGTCAGAAGACACCTGGCCGTATAATGAAATACAGCCAATAGAGATTCCCGAAAAACGCAAAATAGTAGTTTTAAAAAACACAGTAGCTACAGAGTTTCAGTTGCTTGATAAATTCTCATCGTTCACGGTCCTCAAACGGATTGTCGCGTATTGCTTCAGATTCGCAAACAATACTCGGCACCAAGAAAAAACCACTGGCCCTCTCACTACAGACGAATTAACAAAAGCTACTGTTCGGATAATAGCACTCGTACAAAAAGCTGCATTTTCCGAGGAAACCAAAGAATTAAAAAAAACATCACCAGTTCGTAGCTGGCGGTAGATTATCACATGCAGAGTTACCATACGAAATAAAACACCCCGCAATTCTACCACAACAACATCACGTCACAAACTTAATTATTCGGGATGCACACATTAGACACGGGCATAGCGGAACGCAGAACACATTGAACGCGATAAGACAGTTATTTTGGCCAATTAACAGCAAAGTCGCGGTAAAATCTATCATTAGAAAATGCTATAACTTGCCATAAAATGGCACCCGCAACGCCACAGTATCCCATAGGACAACTTCCAAAACACAGAGTGACATTCACTCGACCATTTTTAATGACTGGCGTTGATTACTGTGGGCCATTTTATATAAAAGAAAAGAAACATCGCAATACTAAGAAAATCAAAACCTATGCAGCTATTTTCGTTTGCTTCAGCACTAAGGCTGTACACGTAGAACTTGTAAGCGATCTGACGTCTGAAGCTTTCCTCGCAGCACTAAAAAGGTTTTTTGCACGACGCGGGAAGTGTAGCGACATATACAGCGATAACGCAACGACATTCACGGGAGCAAACCGCGAATTAGAACAAATTCACACGCTATTAACCATCGAGAAAAATACTCAAATACACAATTACCTTGGAACCAATAGCATTCAATGGCACTTCATTCCGCCACGCGCACCAAATTTTGGTGGCTTATGGGAAGCTGCGGTAAAATCATTCAAACACCATCTTCTTCGCATAATGGGAAACACGCTATTCACGTATGAAGAGTTGTCTACGTGCTTGATAGAAATAGAGGCAATCCTGAACTCACGACCTTTAACCCCGTTATCCACAGATCCTAACGACCTTAATCCGTTAACACCTGGTCATTTCCTAATAGGTGACTCATTAACAAGCACCCCCGAGTGCGATCTTACCGTTTTGAAAGCAGGTCGACTATCATCGTGGCAGCATATACAGTAAATCAGACAACATTTTTCGAGCAGATGGTATACGGAATACCTCAATAAAGTAACGGTGCAGAAAAAATGGCATCATGAAACCACTACCAACATAAAAAAAGGCATGCTGGTTATTTTAAAAGAAGATAACACACCTCCACTTCACTGGCCCATGGGACGCATAGTCGCTACTCACCCAGGAGACGATGGAATCATTCGCGTCGTTACGGTAAAAACAATTCACGGTGAATACAAACGCAGTTTTAAAAAGATAGCTCCATTGCCAATCGAGTACCCAAACGACACGTAAACCCAATGGGAATTTCACTAGTATACGCTGTATATACGATATAACTGCCGCAAAACAAGACATAATCTGTACATACCACGCTTAGTCATAGAAGACATTCTAGTCAGATAATGTATTTAAAAAAATCAGATTATTTATCTATATAGTAGTAGCTAGTAATTAGTTAAATTTACTGTAAGATAAACACAAAAATCAAAAGAAGAAAAAACAGATACATGTATTATAATAGGATTAATGTTGGGTTAAGCAGTGTAACTTAATATTAGTTTTTTGAACGCGATCGTTCAAGAGGGGCCGGTTTGTTGAGCGTTAGATTGTAAAAAGCAATTTAGGCTTAGGAAACCGGAGGCGCGTTTATGACCAGTGCACCCTAGCAAAACAATACAGCGATCGAGGCACGCGGGCCCATTGTAACTCGTCATTACCTTTACTAGCGGTCAATGGTCATAACCTGGGATTTTTGGGACAGCTGGCGAACACGTGTTTCTTTCTCACCTGTAAATACCCCAATTACATCGGTTTCGCCAGTTAATGTCCAGGAATCCCAGGACACCCTTAGAAAAGGAGAAAAAATGACAATCCGTCTTTTTCTACCTTCGCACCAAATTTCGCCACACCCACACCAACAGACACGACCAATCACACTCAAACACACCCTCTCCAATACACACTGCATTCAATATATAAAGACAGAACTTAGACAGACAAAAAAAAAAAGAATTGACACAATAGCCAACACGGTCATATCACAGTATAAGAACTCGATATACTTTACATCTTGTAAAATAAAGAACTCATTAGTACAGCACATATATTCAATATTTCGTTATCTCTTCGATCCTCCGCTACGAGTATTAGTTTACGATCGTCACTTTGCGTCGCAACAAGCTTTACCTGCCATTATTGACCGATAATGACATTAGTCCAATTACTATTCGTCTCATTTGTTTCGTATTTTTCTTTTTTCATAGCTTAGAGTGTGGTAGACATATGGTAGTGAGAAAAACCACAGTTAAGGATAATGGAACAGAAAATATATTGCCAACTTTATATATCTACGTATGTTAAATACAAAATGTTATTTTCGAGAAATGAAAAAAGAATACATACAACATAAATCAATATAACGAATCCGTTGCACTAGAAAGAGGGAACGGGTTCATTTTCAGATGAATTCATACATATGGGTATATAATTCCATGCCAAGCAGATCACATTTGTACACGATGTTCAGGATTTTGGTCAAATTAAAATATAGTCCATGTGAAAATAGAAGGTGCTTAGGTTATAATTTTGTTGATTTTGAAATTGTTTAAAAGATGCCCACCCTGAAATTTTGCAATTATCACCGATTATTACGAAAACTAGCTTCACAAAAGAATATTTATCTGTGCAACTATTAAAGATACGAACTTGATCTTTATTTCATTTTACGTTCCACATAATTTGCCTACATTTACGTTTCATTCATTAATCTCTTTAAATAACAAACAGCTGTTAGAAATTCAAAGTATACGAACGACCGAGGTAGGCCATGTGCAGTTTGTCAGCGCGCTTCCCCCGTTATTCGAGGGAAAGTTGACCTGAGGCTAAAGTGCTTTAGGCAATAAAGAGGCCATGGCGACGTAGGCGTCCTTAGGGCTTACGAAAAGTCAAGAAGGACGCACGCACTCTTCTATTGCTGGTAGTCGAGATTACACGTACCTATCGGTTTGAGAATAAAACTTTGGTTATTGACACGCCCGTGAGTTTTATTGGATATTCCTATCCGATACTCCATCGCTTACAGAATCAGAAGTGGGATAACCGCGTGTAATCAGTGCACATTTTAAAACGATACGCGTGTACAACGTGCAGAAACAATAAGTGTTCAGTGCCGTGTACGGACAATTGAACGGCATCGTTGAACTATAAAGTGTGCATTTAGTGTTAAGACAAATAGTAATTATAAACTGTGAATTTAGTTTTAGTGGTTCTTTATATATTAATAGTAGTGTATGTACTTTATAAGATACTTTAAACTATCGTAATTAAGTGGGACTATTAAAATACAGCATGAGTCGAGCATCGTGCAGCCGTGATATTCCGGAATCTGACGGTAAGGATCACGACACTATAGAATCGCGGGTTGGACGATTGGAAAACCTCATCACGGAATTTTTACGTCAATCGCGATCTCGTGCGCGATCATATCGTCGATCGAGGTCACGCTCGCGCTCGCGAAGCCCAGGAGTGTGTTCGTCGCGCGCACGATCAAGATCACGCAGCCCGCGAAGACGCAACTCGCACTCGCGTAGGGTGACTGATGATAGTAATAAATTACCGAATCGTTCAGAACGGAGTGCGGAGAGTGTGAATGCTCATAGTACTGTATCACGAGCAAAATCACCCGTACATGCACGTCCCGGGGATGAAAATCTTATACCCGTGTATGACCCGACCAAGGAAGATATTTCCATAGAAAACTGGGTACGTCATGTAGATGATTTGGCATCGCGATTCTTTTGGAACGATGTGAGTGTCATGCGTCTTATTACAACGAGATTGCGAGGTCATGTCCGCCAGTGGTACGACACTCATATGCGTAGCGCGACTATATATGGGCGGAAACGAGAGTTTACCTCGTCGCTTAATTTCGACGGACAATGCCATTTTCAAAATTGCTTCGGGAAGCGGATTTGTATGAAGCAAAGCCGGGGCAGTCGCTTGGCGATTATTGCTTCCAAAAATTAAATTTAATACGACGGTTGGATATCAGCGTGTCTGAGGAGAAAATGATCGACATGGTGGTATTTGGAATACCGGATGAGACCATAGCCAGGACGGTAAGATCGGCCGAACACACCGAATCTAATTACCTGTACGCGTACATGTGTACCATGGGAATTATGCCTGAAAAAGAAGAGAAGAAGCCGAAGAACGAGCGGATGGTTCCTGCACCGAAAGCTATTGTTAGAGGGAAGGTGCCGATCATCACGTGCTTCAATTGCGGCAAAATGGGACACATAGCAAAAGAATGCAGGAAGCCGAAGATAGAATGCAATTTTTGCAAAAGACTTGGACATAGGCGGGAGGATTGTCCGCAGAAAGAGGTAAATGTATTGCAAGATTTTAAGAATATTTCGAACATGTGCCAAATCCATATTCGTATTTGTTCGAGATTCTGTAGAAGTTTCGACGGGGGAGAGGATGACGGTTCCCGTTCCACGGCGCGAGCGGATCGCGTCGTACCGCGTGCTGACGCGTGTCACACCATCTATGCGTAACAAGCCTAATCGGCTAACTGTCGATGGCTGACAGGTGTAATGGATTCGCGCGTGGTGTCGCGCACCGTCTTCCGCTCCCGAACCGCCATGCTTTTGCCGAATTGTGCGAACTTCCTTCTTCTCGTACGGGCTATCGAACTGGACGGACGCGTGTCTGCTCCTCGGTCGTGCCGTCGAATAAGCCACGCGTGCTTTAGCTACTCGTTTGTGCTGCCGAGTTGGCCACGCGTGTTCGTTTAACTTCTCGTTTGTGCTGGCGAGCAAGTTATACCACACTTCCTTCTTCTCGTACGGGCTATCGAACTGGACGGACGTGTGTCTCTCCTCCGTCGTGCCGTCGAATAAGCCACGCGTGCTTTAGCCACTCGTTTGTGCTGGCGAGTTGGCCACGCGTGTTCTTTTAACTTCTCGTTTGCGCGCAGGCTAGTACTAAGCCTTCACGAGGACACTGTGTTGTTAATCGGACGAACCGTAAAGGTAATAAAGCCCCGTCATGTAAGTGTGTACGAAAATTCAAACCTAACCTTACATCCTCGCTATTCATGACCACGTGTGCTCAATTCCGTTCCCGATCGGCACTTTAGCGAAGTGGGCTGCTACACTCCACCCACTTCTTGTAACGTTATTTTACTTGGCGATCTTTATTCGCAACAGTATTAATGGACATAAAGTAGCAAGCTTAGTAGATACTGGTAGTGCATGTACTGTAGTCCATTCATCTATTATAAAGAAATATTTTATTGAGACGAAGTTAGTAGAAGATACGATATTTAAAGGATTTGCTGGAAGATCAGTAATAATAAATCAGATAGCGCCAGTCACTGTAAAGATTCAAAATGTTATCGCGGACGTAAATTCTTTTATCGTTCCGGATGCATATATGGCATACGACGCGATACTTGGAAGAGATTTTCTTCAACAAGAACACGTTATAATGTTGAAACGAGGAAATCTACTAACGTTTAACGATACAAGAAATTACAAAAGACCGCGAGTAACTTCTGTAATGGATAATTACGTCATCGACGCGAATTTTAATTTAAATTTGGGAAAACTCGGAAAGAAGGAACGAGAATTATGCGTCGCGTTAATGGAGGAATTTCGGGATTGTATCTCATCATCGATGTAAGATCTCGGGAAAACAAATACTGTTTCAATGGAGATCAAGTGCCTTACGAACGAGCCGGTTGCGTATCACCCGTACCGTCTCGCGGAATCGGAAAAGAAGGTCGTACGCGATATAATAACGGATTTGTTGGATAACGGAATAATTGGAGAGTCTGAATCGCCATACGCTAGTCCAATTACGCTCGTAAAGAAGAAAACCGGCGATTGGAGGATGTGCGTGGACTACCGTAAATTGAACGCGATAACCATCAAAGATAAATATCCGTTGCCACTCATTGATGATCAAATCGACAAACTTGAAGGAAATCGGTATTTCAC